CCAAACTGAAAAAAAGGATGGCAAGGCCTGAGCACAAGAGTCCTCCCTCTTGTGTTGGGCTCCCGCCTGGCCCCCCAATTTCCAAATTATTATTTCTTGTCTCGTCTCTGTCATTTGCACGCAGCCCTTCTCCAGAGCCTGAACACTGAACCACACGGGACGTGGGTCATCACATCTTAGGACCTCTTTCAATTCCATATAAATCTGAGGATGGGCTTTGCCATTTCTGCAAAAAAGGCTATTGGAATTTTGATAGGGATTCCGTTGAATCTGTAGGTCACTGTGGGCAGTATTGACATCTTAACAATATTGTCTTCCAATCCACGAAGACAGGCTGTCCTTCCATTTATTTAGGTCCGCTTTAATGTCAGCAATGTTTTTTAGTTTTCAGCTTCTTTGGTTACATTTATTCCCAAGTATTTAATTCTTTTATATTGTAAGTGGAATTGCTTTCTTTTCAGATTGTTTGCTGCTGGTGTATAGCAACACAACTGATTTTTGTGTATTGACCTTGTATTTTGCAATTTTGCTAAATTTGTTCATTAGCTCACGTTGCTTTCTTTTTGGTTCTTTGAGATTTTCTGGTATAAGATCATGTCATTTGTAAATTGAGATAGTTTTACCTCTTCCTTTCAAATCTGGATGCCTTTTTCTTCCTTTTTCCTCACTAACAGCTCTGACCAGAACGTCCAGTACAATGTCAAAGAGCAGCAGCGAAAGCAGGCACTTCCCTTGTTTCTGTCCGTAGGGGATGGAACGTTGTCAGTCTTTCACCACTGAATATGTCAGCCGGGGGATTTTCTTAAATACCCTTTATCACGTCAAAGTTCCCTTTGATTCTTACTAGTAGTTTTCTGAGTGTTTTCTTCATGAACAGGTACTGGGTTTAAAGAATAATTCTTGTACTTTCTGTGTCAATTGAGATGATCATGTGTTTTTTCCCTTTCTTCTATTAATGTTCTCTAGTTCATTAATGTAGTCTAAAATTACTGTATTCTAATCAATATACCTCATTGATTGAGTTTCTTACATTGAATCCCACCTTGCATTCTTGGGATAAATTCCATTTGGTTATAATGTGTAACACTTTTAATATGGTATTGGACTGAATTTGCTCCTATTTTGTTGAGGATTTTTGCATCTATATTCATAAGGGGTACTAGTCTGTAATCTTATTTTCCTGTGATGTATTTATTTGGCTTTGGTATCAGTATAATGCTAACATTATGGGATGAATTAGGAAGTGTTCCTGCCTTCTCAATTTTAGGGAAGAGCTTCAGAAGGATTGATGTTAAAGATTATTCTTTTTTGTTTTTTTAAATCCTCACCTGAGAACATTTTCCCATTGACTTTTAGAGACAGTGGGAGAGGCACACACACAGAAATATCTATGTGAGAGAGATAGAGCGACTGGCTGCTTTTGCACATGCCCTGATCAGGGTTGGGGCTCAAGCCTGCAACCGAGGTACACGCCCTTGACTAGAATCGAACCTGGGACCCTTCAGTCCACAGGCCAATGGTCTTTCCAAAGTGCCAAACTGGCTAGGGCAAGGGTTATTCTTTAAATGTTTGGTAGGATTCACCAGCGAAGCTATCCGGTCCTGGGCTTTTCTCTGTGGGAAGGTTGGGTTACTGACTCAGTCTCTTCACTTGTTGTAGGTCTGTTGAGATTTTCTATTTCTTTTGAGTCTGTTTTGGTGGTGTGTGTCTGGCTAGTTTGTGCACTTTCCATTTCATCTAGGTTATCTAATTCATTGGGATGTAGTGTTCATAGTATTCTCTTATACTTTGCTTTCTGTAATGTCAGTAATAATGTTCCCACTTTCATTTCTTATTTTAGTTATTTCTGTCTTTTTCCTTTTTTCTAAAGTCAATGTTCATTTAGGTTTATTAATGTGCCACTTTTTGTTGTTGTTGCTTTTCTTTCCTTCTGGCATTCTTAGTTCTTTGATCTGGTCTGATTTTCTTTATACCTGAAATACATAGATAGTTTAGAATTTCCTTTAGTGAAGACGCTCACTATTTGTCTGAAAATATTTTTATTTTGCCTTTATTCTTTTTTTTAGTTTTTTTGTTTGTTTGTTTTTATGGTTAATCCTCACCTGACTGGGAATCGAACCCACCACCTTTTGGTGTATGGGATGACGCTTCAACCAACTGAGCCACACCAGCTGATTATACAATATTTTTGTTGCTTTTAAAAAATTCCAATAACAGAGAAACCTTATATTTGATAGGGCTGCTGCTCTCTACCATCTTATGTACATTAGCTGTCCATTGTATTAATCTTGGAATTATGTCTCCATTTCACTATGCTTTTCCTCCACTAAACGGGAAAGGACACAGTGGTGGCTGGGGCACCATCTAGCTTTGTTCAGGCTTGAGGGTCACGTGTGGTGGGCTCTGTGAGCGCTCCAATGGCTCAGCTCACGTGTGGATGCCCTTCCCCTCCCCGGCTCCTGGCCTGTGGGTGGTGATGGCTGCTGGTAGGGGGAGACTGTCTCCATTCTTGTCCTGCTTGTGTCAGCTCTGAGGAAATGGAAGCTCCCAGTACCTAGGCCCGATTCCCTCCTTATTCCTTGTATTGACTGGGACAGCAGCTGGGAAAAGGAGCTCTTGGCCTAAGGGACGTTCCAGGGACCCATTTTGATTTCCATTTTCACCTTGATGGTAATTCATGACATCTATGCTGTCATAGCACAACTAGAATAACTGTTAGGGTCCACGGTTTGTGGTGTGATCACATGTGCTTCTGAACTTGTCTCCTCCCAGCAGTGCAGTCTCACTCTCTCTGGGAAGTTAGGGAGGGAACATGTCCCCACCCTCCCAATAGTTTCTCCACAAAGGGCCGAGTTTTGCCCTCGATCTGGATTGGACAAAGGGAGGTGTTTTCTTTCCACAGAGAATGGGACCCAGCCGTGGGCAAACTACGGCCCGCGGGCCGGGAATAAAACTAAAAAAAAAAAAAAAAAAAAAGACCGTACCCTTTTATGTAATGATGTTTACTTTGAATTTATATTAGTTCACACAAACACTCCATCCATGCTTTTGTTCCGGCCCTCCGGTCCAGTTTAAGAACCCATTGTGGCCCTCGAGTCAAAAAGTTTGCCCACCCCTGGACTAGACCCTTCCTTGGTCACTGCTGTATCTCCAGGACCCATCGTGGTCCTCAGCACCTTGCGAAGTTGGTAGCGATGATTTCCTGTGCTCGGTGCCTCCCCGCCTCGGCGTCTGAAGGGATCACTTGGTGGACACCTCTCCTGTTCTCTGAAGTAGCCTGCAGCTCAGACCTGCGACAGGGGTCTTAAGAAGCTGGGTGGAGGTGCCTGATGGGGTGCATGTAAGGATGTCATCTACATCCTCTCAAGGTCTTTCGATCCCAAACTGAACCAAGAGGCAGAGCCTGGAAACAGGACAGAGAATAAGGGCCGTGTCCAGGGGGCCTGCCCCCACCTGAGGGCCACCTTAAGGCCTGGGCCCACCTTCCACCCTCTTGCTGACATCTAATATGCTCGGGGAGCTGTGAGGCAACCTGATGGGTGAGATACCTGAGGCTCAGCGGAGCCCAGGCTGGGTGCCAGGGACGCATCTTGGCCACCTCTTTGAGGCCAGGGAGAAGTCCCCTGTCCCAGAAGAAGGAACAAATACACGTTGTGGGGGGCCCTGCTCTGTACCAGGGACTTCAGTCCCTTTTTCATGTCTGGGCCCCACCTGGCACCGTCTTAAGATTTACACCTGAGATCAGCTTAAGTGAGAAGCAGATGGAAGAGGCAAAGCTCTTTCCCTGAGAAACCAGGCCCAGAGGGGAGGCAAGCTGCCTGCCCAGCGGGAGCCTCTGCCCGCCGGCCTGGGGGGGCCTGAGTCCCAGTGCTGAAGGGGGGAGTGGAGTGATTCAGCCAGGACAAGGGAAGGTTGGATTGAGACAGGACACCCAGGGGTCAGGCTGATGGAGCACCCAGGGCGGGAGGAAGGTTTCTGGGGGATCTCGGGGCTGGATGATGACAGTAGGTAACAGGAGTGGCATCAGCCTGGTCTCAGTGCTCCAGGGCCTGGCGAGAGCAGCAGTTGGGCAGGCAAGACACTGGAGGTGCAGGGGACTCTAGAAGGGCTGGGTGGGCTGTAATCATTCCGGCCAAATAAAGGGAAATACAAACTTCTGGGTTTTCTTTATTTAAATCACTTTTTTTCTCTTGACAACTTAGAAAATTGCTTTTGAAAACTATTCAGTGTCTGCTGAGCTCAGGCAAGAGAAAGTCCCGAGGCTGGTAGAGGGGAGGGTGAGGGGCCCCCTCCTGAGCCCCGAAGTTTCCTGGGAGAGAACAGTGCCAGCCCCCTCTGCGCACCTTGAAGTGCAGAGGTCGGAGGCTGCCCCTCTGGAGCAGGCTTAGCCTTCTCTGTGCTGGACCCACACCCTCCCTCCTTAGTCTGAGACCAGCCTGTGGCTTGGCACCAAGGCTATGGCCCTACTACCACCCATCCCCCACTGGCCTACAGTGGAATCGTCTTCTCGAGTTTCTGGTAATTTTATCAGGGCTGCATCGTGTTGCTAAAACTACAGATAACATCTCCCTATGGGTAACTGTTCCCTGCTAGAGCCCCCTGAGGCTGGACCCAGGCTCAGAGGAGGGGCACTGGGATGTGGGTTGGGTTTGGGGCACGAGGGTCTATGAGGCAGAAGCAGGCTGGCTGGGATGCTGGAACCGTATTGAGGTACGCTGCTTGCCATTGGAGCTTCTGGAACATGGGGGCTGGAGCTGGGTGGGGGGCCTGGAGAGGCCCCTGGAGCTGTTGCTAATTGTCTCCTGGTACCTCCAGCTGGGTCCTGCTGACAAGCCCCTAAGCCCAGGTACAGGCACAGAGAGCCACCCCTCCCAGTCCAGGGCCACCTTAACTGGGCGGGGCACACCGCTGATGCCATCTTCAGGAGGACAGGCCTGAGTGGAGGACTGGCTTTGCGAGGCACACACAGCTTCCAGCCTGCTCCCAGGTGGCCCAGCACCATGATCCAGGGTGCCTTAGAACCTGGTGGCCCCGGCTGGGGCTGGGACGGGGACGGGGACGATGACTGGGACAGTGCTGTGCTCACCCTGTTGGCGCTGGCTGTCGTGGCTGCCACGGCCCTGGCCCTGCACTGGTTTGGCTCTGGGCAGGACCAGGAGGCAGCAGGACCAGCATCCACCGGCCCCAGTGCCCAGCCTTCTCAGGCGGGAGGAGCTGGGCCAGCCCTGACCCCAAAGTCCAAGGTCAGTGGTGGCATCGAGGGACACAGCTCCGGGCAGAGGAAGCCAGAGCCTCCAGGACCTAGCCAGGCGAGTCCAGCTACAGCAAGTGCCCAGGACCACCAGCCCCACGGAAGTGAAGATCTGACTGCCACGGCCGCAGCTCCACCCAAGACACCCAGCGAGGCGGCCAGTGGAGGGGCCTTGGGACAGCAGCATGGCAACGCCAGCCCTGAAGTCTCCCGAGGTGCAGGCAAGCAGACGCCCAGGCCGGGTGCTGCCCTCCGGGGTAGGAGCAAAGCAGGGGGGACGCCTGCCCCGCTCCTGATACACTTCACTCCTCCGAGTCGGGACAGAGACATGGAGGTGCAGGCGGAGGCAGGAGGCCTCGCAGCCAAGGCGCCCGCTCACCCGGCCCCGATCCACACGGTGGAACAGGACACCGGCTCCTGGAAACACGGAGCGGGGCCGCCTGGCTCACTGGGGAGGCGGTCAGGCAGCCGGCGGTGGCAGGTGGATGACAGCTCAGGAGAGAGAACCCGGCGCCTCCCAAAGCTGGACCCCCTGCGCCTGGGTGCGGTGGTGAGTGTGTGGGACGCTGTGGATGCAGCCAGCACCTTCCCTGCAGGTGCCCAGAGGCCCCGCTACCGCCATGAGCTTCCCCCACCAGACTCTGTGCAGACTGGACATCTGACAGATGGCTCAGAGAGGGGGTGCGGGAAGAGCAGCCCCCAGCCAGACCACGTTTTAGCTCTGGATTCAGGGACCAAACCTGGTGAGAGCAGGGAAGGTGGGCCCTGGGCTCCCGGGGAGTCTCAGGGGTCCTCAGCCTCTGTGGAAGGCTGGCCCTGGGCAAGGAGGGAGGTCCTTGTCACCAAGAGCTTCAGCCAGACCCAAGGCTTCATAGAACCACGGCCAGAGGGGCAGCAGTGGGGACGCCCACTCTTGTCCCAAGAGGGGACCACAGTGATCTGCACTATGGGAAAGGCTGGGGTGAACGGCTCTGGAGACCACTCTTTCTTCCGCTCAGATTCAGGCAGGACAGAAAAGCAAGGGGCCCGCAGTGTCGGGAAAGGGAGAGGATCCGGGCGAGGCCAGGGGGAGCCGGGCAGTGGACAGGTGGCTGGCTGTCTGGACACAGGGACGCCAGCCACAGACGGCCTCAGTTGTGTCCCCTCCCCGCATCCCTCAGCCACACCCCCCCTACTCATGCCTGAGCCCCTCTCTCCCTCAGCTTCCCTGACCGAAGCACTTCCCAACCCAGGTCTCTTACCTGCAGCCCCGACTCGTCTGATCTCCTCTCCTTCACACTCTTTGCTCCTCAGAGTTGACCAGGGTCCTGCCAAGGATGAAAATCTCAGAGCAGTGCCAGCCCCAGCCCCAGCTGCATCCCCATCCCCATCCCCAGCCCCAGCCCCAGCCCCAGCCCCAGCTGCATCCCCTGCCCCAGCTGCATCCCCAGCCCTAGCTGCATCCCCTGCCCCAGCTGCATCCCCAGCCCCAGCTGCATCCCCTGCCCCAGCTGCATCCCCAGCCCCAGCCCCAGCCCCAGCTGCATCCCCTGCCCCAGCTGCATCCCCAGCCCTAGCTGCATCCCCTGCCCCAGCTGCATCCCCAGCCCCAGCTGCATCCCCTGCCCCAGCTGCATCCCCAGCCCCAGCCCCAGCCCCAGCTGCATCCCCAGCCCCAGCCCCAGCTCCAGCCCCAGCTGCATCCCCAGCCGCAGCCACAGCTGCATCCCCTGCCCCAGCCCCAGCCCCAGCTGCATCCCCTGCCCCAGCCCCAGCTGCATCCCCTGCCCCAGCTGCACCCCCAGCCCTAGCCCCAGCAGCATCCCCAGCCCCAGCTGCATCCCCAGCCTCAGCCCCAGCTGTATCCCCAGCCCCAGCTGCAGCCCCAGCTGCATCTCCAGCCTCAGCCCCAGCTGCAGCCCCAGCTGCATCTCCAGCCTCAGCCCCAGCTGCATCCCCAGCCTCAGCCCCAGCTGCATCCCCAGCCTCAGCCTCAGCTCCATCCCCAGCCCCAGCTGCATCCCCAGCCCCAGCTCTGGCCCCAGCTGCATCCCCAGCCACAGCCCCAGCTGCATCCCCAGGTACAGCCCCAGCTGCATCCCCAGCCACAGCCCCAGCTCCAGCCCCAGTCGCAGCCACAGCAGTAGCTCCAGCCACTGCCCCAGCTGCATCTCCAACCCAAGCTCCGGCCCCAGCTGCAACCCCAGCCACAGCTGTAGCTACAGCCCGAGCCCCTGACCCAACCCCTGTCCCAGCTGTAGCCACAGCCCCAGTTGCTGTTGCATTCCTAGCTCCCACCTCAGTTCCTGCCCCTGTTGCAACCCCTGCCCCAGCTACAACCCCTGCCCCAGTACCAGCTGCAACCCCTGCCCCAACCCCAACCCCTACCCCAGCCCCTGCCCCAGCCCCTGCCCTAGCCCCAGCCCCTACCCCAGCCCCTACCCCAGCCCCTGCCTCAGCCCCAGCCCCTACCCAAGCCCCTGCCCCAGCCCCAGCCTCTGCCTCAGCCCCAACCCGTACCCCAGCCCCTGCTGCAACCCCAGCCCCAGCCCCTGCCCCAGCTGTAACCCCTGCCCCAGCCCCAACTCAAGCCCCAATCCCTGCCCAAGCCCAAGCCCAAATCCAAGCCCAAGGCCCTGCCCTAGCCTCAGCCCCAGCCCCAGTCCCCACAAGTAAGTCAAAGCCTCCAAGTCAGGAGCCTAGTGTGACTCTTCGCAAGGGCAACCAGGAGGGGCAGATCTCAACTAGCTGGGGAAATCTTATTTCAATGGTTCTTAGGAGTCACCCCTTCCCCAGGCTAGAGAGGCCCCAAGGGACAGCCCTAAGGGCAGCTCCAGAGAGCCCTAGAGAGCCCTGCACTTCCACAGCCTCGGAGAACAGGGAGTCTGGTCCTCTCCCTGAAGGGGCCATCCCTAGTCTCAAGGACAGGCACGGCTCCCCAGCTGGGGTGGCTACAGGGGCTGGCACAGGGGGCCTGGCTGAGGCAGGATGTCAGCCGCAGCCCAGAAGCGCTGAGGCTAACGAGGCTGCTGTGCCCAGGGCCCCAGCTCCGCTGTCGCTGTCGGAGCAGAGGAAGCCTGGCCCTGCACCCATTCCCTCTGCCAGGCGGGACCCACAGCCTGTCCCCAGGCCACGGAAACTCAGCGTGTGTGAACTAGCCAAGAGCTCTGAGCTGAAGGTCAGCCAGGCGGCCCCAGGAGAGGCGCCAGGGAAGAGGCCCAGCCCTGCGGGCAGCAGGGAGGTCCTCACAGAGGAGCAGAAAGAGGCCCGCAAACTCATGGTGTTTCTGCAGAGGCCTGGGACCTGGGGGGTGGTGGAGGGGCCCCGGAGGCCCAGCTCCCCTGCCCGGGAGCCGGCTTCGGCAGCAGCTCTGCAGCGGCGGCTGGACCTGGGCAGCTGCCTGGATGTCCTGGCCTTTGCCCAGCAGCACGGGCAGCCCGTCCTGGCCCAGGAGACCTATGCTTTGATGAGTGACAATCTGCTGCACGTGCTGGGCGATCCGAACCTCTACCGGCAGCTGAGTGCGGCCGACCGGGAGCGCATCCTGAGCCTTCGAACTGGCAGGGGCCAGGCTGTGCTGGGGGTCCTCGTGCTGCCCAGCCTCTACCAGGTGAGCCGTTCAGGGCTCACAAGGGGCCCTCGAGTGGAAGAGGCTCCTGCCACAGGTCCTGCGCCCCTGCCTCCTCCATCGCACCTGCATGTGTTCAACCCCCAAGAGAACACCTGGCGGCTCCTGACCCAGGTGCCGGAGGAGGCCCCGCTGCGGGGCTGTGGCCTCTGCACCATGCACAACTACTTGTTCCTGGCAGGGGGCATCCGTGGCTCCGGCTCCAAGGCCATCTGTTCCAATGAGGTCTTCTGCTACAACCCTCTGACCAACATCTGGAGCCAGGTGCGGCCCATGCAGCAGGCCCGGGCCCAGCTCAAACTGGTGGCCCTGGATGGGCTGCTCTACGCCATCGGTGGCGAGTGCTTGTACAGCATGGAGCGCTACGACCCCCGCACAGACACCTGGACCTCACGTGCGCCCCTCCCCGCAGGCACCTTCCCTGTGGCTCACGAGGCTGTGGCCTGCCGTGGGGACATCTATGTCACTGGGGGCCACCTCTTCTACCGCCTGCTCAGGTACAGCCCGGTGAAGGATGCTTGGGAGGAGTGCCCCTACAGCGCCAGCCACCGGCGTTCCAGCGACATGGTGGCACTGGGGGGCTTCCTGTACCGCTTTGACCTGCTGCGGGGGGTGGGTGCCGCCGTGATGCGCTACAACACCGTGACAGGCTCCTGGAGCAGGGCCGCCCCCTTGCCCCTGCCGGACCCTGTCCCGCTGCGCTGCACCGTGCTGGGCAACACCATCTACTGCCTCAACCACCAGGTCACGGCCACCTTCACGGTCTCCGAGGGGACGGCCCAGTTCCAGGCCAAGGAGCTGCAGCCTTTCCCCCTGGGCAGTAAAGGGGTCCTCTGTCCCTTCATCCTGACTCTGCCCGCCTCGGACCCACTACAGACTTCCCTCTGAGCTGTGCCAGGACTGCCGTGCCCCTCTTCAGGCAGACTCTGGGCCAGGCTGTGAGGCAGGTGGGGCAGGGGAAAGGGGCTGCTCTTCTTTCTGGGACAACTTTCCTTTTCTGTTATAATGAGCCTCATGTCTGGCCCTCCTTCCCCTCCTGCAAGAGCCAGGCTCCCTGTACCTGGAAGCTGGTGGCGGGCGTCCCTACCACACTCACGTGCCTCCTGCTTTATTATTGAGTCCTTGCTCCAGTGCCTCAGCTTGCTCTCAGGAACCCTCCTCGGGGCAAAGGACTCCCACCGGCCAGGTTCCTGTCACAGCACCAACCACACTGCCTGGAAATAATCTGCCAGGGACCCCGGGGTCCCCATGAACCTGGACTTGGCTGGCTGAGGAGTCGGCAACTGCTGAGCCCAGGAAGGAGATGGCTTCCCTAGGGCTCCCAGCTAGGCAAGAGGCCCATGAGGGGCTGGAAGAGGGAACAGGGAACAAATGTCTCCAGAAAAACGTTCTAGCCTCTGGGATTTTCTGCCCGTCCTGAGGCCTTGGGGAACCTGGCTTGGCTGTTCCCAGAAACAACTCTTAGGTCCCCTTTGTCTGAAACCCTTGTCTGTGACACTGCTCTGCTGTCTGGAGCCCCTACCCATAACCCCAGCCTAGACCAGGACTGCTGGGGCTCATGTCCTTCTGCAGCCTTGTGGGGTCTCTCCCACCTGCTCAGCCCCTCCATTTCCCATCCCACCTCCCACTAACTCTCTTCTTACATGAGACCTGGGCGCACCCCAGCTCTGCCCCTTATTAGCTGTGGGACTTGGGCGAGACATCTGTCTTCTCACCTGTGAAGTGGGGATAATGGACATGTCACTCAGGGGAATTCTGAGAACATAGGTCACATATATGAGCACCTGGCACAGCCCACTTTGGAACCCTCCACAGGAAGGAAAATAAATCTGAATACGGCAGCCCGTCCCACCCTCTGACCTGGTTTGTCCCTGGCTGGCCCTTTTTGCTTTTTATTCTATGCTTGTCACTACATATGCTTCATTCATTGGCAGCATCTGCATCTTCCACTCCTCACATTTTGTTCACAAGGTTTCACATGGAACTGGGGGGGGGGGGCAGAAAGGAGTCCTCAGGATGTGCTTGAAAATAAGTTTATTGAGAAACAGGTGCAATGCATGCAGCTGTGTGTTTGGGTCACTGTTTCTTTGCCAGGCAGAGAAGGCTCCACCCGCTGTGGCTCTGCACACAGACAGGCCCAGCGTGGTGGCTGCAGGGTGGGGTCGGGGGCCTACTGCGTGCGCTTGGTCTCACTGAGCAGCTCTTGCCAGTTCTTCTCCATCTCTTCCTTGCAGTTGAGGAAGGCGTCCTCCAGCCGGCGCATGGACTCTGCCAGGGCGGGGTTGGTGCGTATCACCACCATGTCGTAGGCCATCCATGTGGCTTGCACTGCAACAACCAGACAGGCCTGGTCAGGCCCCAGGATGGGGCTGTGGTGCCGGAGCACCCCAGGGACCATACCAGGCTGAGTGATCCAACTATTCTAAGGAGAGAAAGGTGGGCAGCCACTTGATACAGGGCCCACAACCTCCCACCCCCACCCCCCTGATTAAAACTACTCCCTTCACAGAGCAGTAATGAAACTTCCCTAATCTCACACAAGTCTTAACTTCTGGATATATCAGCCATGACACTAAAAGGCTGCAGGCCAGTCTGATATGAAATGCTAGGAAAAATGAGAGCAAACAAAGACCGTTACCTAGCCACAGTTCACAGCTAGTGGCTGAAGGGTGACCCTTAAGAAGTCTTAACACCCACCAAGCTCACAGGCTCAGGTATGGCTGACCACTCCCACTCCTGCAAGGTCCTGAGTCTCATGTTACCTCATGCTCAGTGGCCTGAATGCCTGTCCACCTCCACCCAGGCATCTCTGTGCTTTAATTAAAAGGCCAGTCCAGAGCTTCTCCTTCTGGGAAGGTTTGCTGCACCCCACATTAGGTGTCCTCTGGTGCTCACACTACACTGACCGACTTCCTTGCCCTTTCCCTTTAAGAGCAACTTGAGGGCAGTGTCCCCGGGCCTACAGGTGAACATGTGCTGCTTGTACAGAAACTCCGCCCCCTTTTCTCTGTAGTACCCACCCCATTAGTATGGCTCTGCCCTCGAGAACTACAAAGAACGAGGGTCCTAGCCCTTCTGCATGACAGGAAGAATTGTTAGAAAAGGTGTGCGCAGTATCTCAACAGACAGAGGGCTATGACTGTACAGCAAGTGCAGGAATTCTTGAACTTTCGGAAGCATGGGAGTTCCTTGGGACACCTGTTAAGATGTAGACTGCTGGCCCCTCCTACAACTCAAAGGTTCTATCTAGCAAGTTGGGAATGGTGCCCAGGGACCTGCATCTTAACAAGCATCTGGATAATTTTGGTGTTTGGGGAGGCTGCTGACCATTCTTTCAGACCAACTGGACAGCAGGTGGAACATGAACTGAGAGTCAGAGTTTTATTCCAACTCTCCACTTGCTGGCTGTGGAGCCTACAAGCGACTTAAACTTGTTCACCTCAGCCTTCTCATCTGTAAGGGTCTGACAACGTCCCAATCTCATGGCTCCCCTTGAAGATTAAGTAAACTGCCTAGCACATTTTATGTGCTCAAGAAAGAAGGAACTTTTACTATAAAATAAATAATTGAGGTAGTTAGGGCAAAGAGTTAGGGTAGGTAAGAAATTAAAATTCAAGATAAAAAAATGCTCACAGAAATGAATCTCATATAATCCTATAATGCAGCTGGAATTCCAGCTGAGTTTCCTAAGGCCAAAGCAGAAAAGGAAACATGCTCAGTTACAAGACTCAGTGACCATAAAATAAAAACAAACTCACTGTATAAGAATCTTTTATCCTAAGAAAAAAAAACTGTCCTATAGGTATATTTTATGAGAAGTGTAATGTAGTTGAAAATGCCCTTGATGACATCCTACTTTAAACACAAGGTATTCTTCCAGGACTATAATTGTAATCACAGGTGAAAGAAAGCTAGTGGCATAGCAACAAAGCACAGTTCAGAAAAGGCACTTCAGTGAGACTCCAAAACACAACAGCAAGTGCACAGCTCTCTTCTGATTTGATCCAAGAAAAAGTATATAGAATACATAGAACAGAACTCAATCACCAGAACACTCTCAAGCAATATATGTCTCAAGTTTTCATTCATTCAGTATTTATTGAGCACCTCCTTTATGCTGGCATTTTATCAGGCAGCCATGACAATAAAGCTGTACAGAGGATAGACACCCCCTACCCTCATGCAGTATCTATCTATACTAGTTGCAGTGGGAGGAGACAGATAAACATACAAGACAATTTCAAATTGTGAAAGGTGCTATGAAGGAAATAAGTAGTATGTGTTGTGATAGAGAAATGGGGTAGGAGGAGTCATATTACAAGTCAGGTAGTGAGGGCAGGCCCCCTCTGGGGTTTTTTGGTAAGGATTGTGCAGTAGCAAAGCCAAGGTCATAATCAGTGGTGGGGCCTGAACAGCAGGTATTCTGAGAGGCTAATCAGAACTTGCCTGTACACTTTGAAAACCCACTGGGTATGCCAGAACCGGTTTCGCTCAGTGGATAGAGCATTGGCCTGTGGACTCAAGGGTCCCAGGTTCGACTCCGGTCAAGGGCATGTACCTTGGTTGCGGGCACATCCCCAGTGGGGGGCGTGCAGGAGGCAGCTGATCGATGTTTCTCTCTCATCGATGTTTCTGGCTCTCTATCCCTCTCCCTTCCTCTCTGTAAAAAATCAATAAAATATATTAAAAAAAGAAAAAAAAAAAAGAAAGAAAACCCACTGGGTAAAGCCAAGGTCCTTGCACGGAAATTAAGAAACAATGGTCAAGTTGTATGCTGTGAACTCCGAGGACCAAGAACTGCTCCTGGTGGCTACCTGGGCAAAAAAAAAAAAAAAAAAAAAAAAAAAAAAAAGCAGAGCCTAGCAGCCATTTCTGCATAGAATTCTGCATAGAAGGGTTCTCAAGTCAAGGAGAAGCCTCTGCACTGAACTGCCTGCCTGCCTGCATGGTATTGCTGCTAGCTGAACCAGCCCTTATAAAGGAGTTCCTGGAATCCTATTTCAACCATTAGGACTGAGGCTTTCCCAATCCAATCAGAGCTGTGCAGCTCAGACCAATTGGAGCAGCTCTATTCTGACCAATCAGAGACGAGGGGCTGGGACTTCTGTCTATATAAGCCAGCTCCCAGCCTACCAAAGACTGCCCCTGAACACCACCTCACTGCAGAGCTTCCTTGCTGAAGAGAGGCCTGGCCCAGGGCAGCTGTGACGCAGTCTGTGGAGCTGTTCCACAGCAGTACTGTGTTCATAGTCACGCTGTATTACCCTGCAGCTGTTTGCACCAAAGAAAGTTTCCTTCTTCACTCCAAATTGGGGATTCCTGTTAGCGTTTGAATTGGCACCAATGACCACTGGTGGACAGCACCTAGATGCAGAATTTAGTAAAGGATGAGGATAGTGTCCCAAAAATCTGTTTAGGAGAGAGGAGAACTAACTAGTGATACAGTAAGTGGATTTGCTTTGGGAGTCTGGAAAGTAGAATTGGAAGACAGAGAGCACAGGGAATGAGATAAGAGGGCTAGCTGACCAGGAAATGGGATGATGACAAGCCTGGAGGTCACAGGCCACAAGCTAATTCAAATAATTGGCAAAACAGACCAAGCAACGTTTTAAAATGTAAATGGGTGAAATTCTACCAAATTTTTAAAGAACAGTTAATGCTTATCTAATACAAGTAATTCAAAAAATTAGGAAAAGAAGGAAGACTAATAATCTCACTATATGGGCTGGTGTAATTTTTTAAGAAAAGCGTTTCCTAGTGGCATTCCACTTATATAGCAGAAAAATTGAGAATAGAGATAAGAAAAAATCCTATATAATAAAAGCTTAATATGCTAAGTGTTTGACTGTTTATTCGACCGTTCAACCAGTCGCTATGATGTGCACTAACCACCAGGGGGCAGAGGCTCTGACTGGTAGGTTAGCTTGCTGCTGGGGTCCAGCCGATCAGGACTGGACGAGAGAGGCTGGACACTCCCTGGAGCCACCCTCCTGCGATCCCTCCCTGGCCTCTAAAATATTTCTTCTAATTAATTTCCTTTCAATGTGCACGAATCCATGCACTGGGCCTCTAGTAAATACGTAATTTTCTCTAAGCTGGTTTATTCCAAAACCAAAGACAACATGAGAAAAATTATAGGCCTACCTCACATGAATATAGATGTGAAATCCTAAATATAACATGAGCTAATGAAATCTAACAGTGTACTAAGATATTATGTTATGATTAAGCAGGATTTGTGAAAGAAATTCAAGGATGCTTAAATATCAGAAATTCAATCACTATAATTAACCACATTTATAAAAAGAGGGAAATAATAGAAATATCTCAATGCAAAAAAGGCAGGTAATAAAGTTTAATAATACCTATTTGTGATTTTAAACAATCAAAACTCTAACAAATTAGGAAGAGAAGGAGACATCTTTAACTTACTAAAGGTGATATACCAAAAACTTATGGCAAACTCATACGTAATGGAGAAACTGTGGATACATTCCCTATAAGACTGGTATCAAACAAGGGTGCTTCTACTAATATTACTGTTATTGGATATGCTGGTAAATGGAATAGAAAAAAACGAAATAAATGGTGTAAGGATTGGAAGGTAAAACTATCAGTATTTATAAATTATAAAAATGTATCCTATATAATAAAAGCCTAATATGCAAATTGTCCCCTCAATTGGGAGTTCAACTGGGAGTTTGACCAAAGATGAGGCCAACTGGCCAACCATCCATGGCCCCTCCCCGGCTAGTGGTGGTGGCAGGCAGCCGGGGCAAGGGTGGCCCCGGCCGGCAGCCGGCAGCCGGCAGCCGGTAGCTGGCAGCCAGCAGCGGCTAAGGACCCTAACCATGCATGAAATTTCGTGCACTGTGTCTCTAGTGTGAAAAAATAAAGATTTAAAAACTAAGTCAATCTTAAAAAATAAAAGTTAAAAGGGGGAATATGCCCTATTAGATATCAAGACAACTTATAAATTCCTATTTTAAAAATAGTGTGGTACAGACAAATAGACCAATGGAAGAAAAAAGTAAGCTCAGAGATAGACCTAAGTATATATGGGAATTTAGCACATGATGAAATAACACACACACACACAAAATCAATGAAAAAAGGATAGTGTACTCCAGATATACTAAAGATATAAGTATGAAAGGTACAAATAACATTTATAGATCAAAATTTAGCAGGTGTAGGGACTTCTTAAAAACCACAAACCATAAGGCAAAATTTGGTGGATTTATTTTTATAAAATTTTTAAAACTAAGGACAATATGGACAGAGTTTTCATAAAAATGGTAGAATATAAGAAATTTACAGTGCATAAA